CATGCATCGCATAACATCATATGAACTAAACTGGTCAACCTGTATGAATATTTATACATGCTTTTTTCTTCAATTAATCATCACTAGTGAAGCCGTATTTCACGAGACTCTGGCCCGTTCGTGCTCTCTGCTAATAACGCCACAATCACGTCTTCGCTCACCTGACCATGGCTTACGGTCGTACTTTCTTCATCTCACGCTGCCTGCATAACTCAGGTCATGTAGTTCACCCGTTCGCCCTTGTCTCGTTTAAATCGGACTTCTGAAAGCCGTCACATGTTTGATGTAAAAGAGAAAAGAAAAGCTTTGCCTGAGAAAGCGCGCGATCGTTTCTTCATCAGCTCTAGCCTCAGCCCATCAGGGCCGTCTGCCATAGTTTATGCTGCAAAGCGCGCAGGTATCTTTTTATTTTAAAGATGACAGTAATATAAAACAAGTTGTAGCTAATACATTATGATACTAAAACATACAAAAAAATTAACGTCTGATGACTACATTAGTGTTCAAGATGGCAAGCATCTTATTGGTACTAAAAGGCCGAGTACTGCTGAAACTGAAGAAATCCTAAAGTAACGGCTGATTTCCAGAAAAAACACAAAACACTTATATAAAATGACCAAAATATTTTTGCAATCGAGATTCATTTAATATATATTGGAGCCTTATTTTATTTACTGTGCGGGTTTAAGAATGTGTAACAAAATCGTTTGACGACGAATTTACCCGTCCTACATGCAGCGTGTGGAATAGCAAGACATTTCCTCGAAATTAACCGTATTGTAATGTTAACAAAATAGAGCTCTGTCGACACTGGAGATATGGGCAAATTTTTCAAACTATCTGGTGTGGATTAGCTTACAAAATCTTTTCCGCGAAAATTGAGCGTGCACAAAATAAGTGTTTCTAGAATTTTACTATTAAGGCCCGTTCACACTCTTGCGACCTCTTAAACCTGGGTTCCTTAAAACTTCTTAAACCAGAAAACACATTGGTGCCATCTATTGGGAAGCATTGTAAACTCGGCGGTCCGGCATATCTTTTTTTATTTCTCGCGCATTATCCTTTCTTTCTTGGCTCGAAAACCTTTTGTCAATGTTATAAACGAGCCTTTCTATGGGTATTACGCACATTTGACCTCTGAAATCCCGCAAAACCTTCGCTCTGGTGAAATGCAGTTCCAGGGTCACCGCATAGATGGCGCCACAATGCCAGTGTGTTCCCTCATTCTAAAAACATTTAAGAAGTTTTAAGAGATCTCGTCTCTCTCAGTCGTACTCGGTCGCAAGAGTGTGAACGGGCCTTTATAGGGGTGCCTGGATAATTCAAACACCTCCGTTTTCCCCCAAACAGATGGTTCATAATAGTTTCGTTAGATTTCCTGCAACTCTAGCACCGGTGCAAAAAAGTGTAGGGCGGCGTACTTCCGGTCTTATCTTAATACATATACCGGAAGTACACTGCCCAACACTTTTCTGGAGCACTGCAGCAGTTGCAATTAAGTCGAACGAAGCTAATGTGAGTTGCTCTTATTAAAAAGACAAAACGCCCGTATTTGCCCGGTTCGTCCCCGAAATATTGTCTATAGACCAACTAATCTCTCTGACGTCAAGCCACACTGGTGGCGCTGCTCCCGGCACTGCGCATGCGCGAAAAGATTCACTTCTCTCAAATTCAGTTTCTGCGCAAGTATTTGAAAACAGTGTGTTGATGTACATAACGGGAGATATTCATATTAACGGGGGCCCTATTACCTAGAAGTGTCCGTATTAGTTTAGAGATAATGTATAGCTGTTTTTACTCCTACTCTGCTTTAAACTTGGTTACCGTGATACGCATAAAGGCATTTTGTTTAATTTTACGTGGCGCGCTTCATTGAATACCTGCTTCATTTGAAGTGCGCTCTAGAGTACAAGGTATCCTGGTAAGAATGTATTTTATACTTAAAGCAGCTGTGCAACGATATTCAATTGGAATGTTTTTCTCTCTACACGAGCTTACTGGCACACCTGAAACTCAAGAATACTCACACGCAACGCCATTGGCCTAGAAACTCCTTTGTTGCGGTGTAATTTCAAGGACAAAAGCGATTATTTTCATTCAATCTCTCCTTCGCAAAATTTGATGACGTAACTCGGGGATCGCAGTACACCCAAGTGACGATATTTGAATGCGGTTCATAGATTGGACCCGAGCATTGCGTGGGCACTCGACTTGGGCTCGTGACAATTGCTATAGCTCGAGAAGCATTCGGGTTGTGAACCGTGTCCAATCGCTGCAACGACGACAACAGCCGAGCCATAACAATGTCTGGAACTCAGCGCGTGCCCTGTGCTTTGCCAACCCCAGCGCGTGGCTATGATCAACACTGACGGCATATAGTCAGCTCCAGATCACGTGGCCGCTTGTTCTGGCTGCGAGTTGAGGGGGTGAACGCTGCTCGTTTTTCTTTAATTTTTTTCCGGGACTGCTATTGCGCGGGGTGAAAAACGAACGCGTGTTTCATAGGTCATTAACGTTAGGGATCCGTTTTAAGCGGTATTTGCGCAAAGTACAAAAATTGTTGCATCGCTCCTTTAATGTAATTGTTCAGAACTATCCCCAATACAGGCTATGAGAAAGTTGCGAAAAATCAGGCATATCTTGCGCGTGTAATAAAACGAATTTGCGAATCATTTGAAACTTGTTCAATTCACCACGTGAAGTGGGCGTGGCGAAAGCTCTCGGAACAGAGCACTCAACATGTTTCCCGTTGACTAGTTATAGACCCTGCTATATACATATATATATTTATATAGCGCAGCTCTTAGGCGCCCGTTTCCGGCTTGAGCGGCGTCGCCGTCGCTCTCGGCGTAACCGTAAGGTCACGTGACCCCCCCCCCGTCACGTGACCCCCAGGTCGGCGTAACCGTAAGGTCACGTGACCACCCCCAGGTCACGTGACCCCTCCCCCCCCCCCCCCCCGAGGTCACGTGACTCCCCTGAATTCACGTGACCGGCCCCCCCGACGTCACGCGACCCCCCGAGGTTACGTGACCCCCTGACGTCACACGACCCCCCTGAGGTCACGTGACCTCAAAGAGTCACCTATCCCTCAGTACGCTTCCATCCTCCTCCTCAAGAGCTGCGCTCTAATCCGGCGTTACAGGGAATTGTAAACGGACTTCATTTTTTTTACTATTGTTGTTGGCTCAGATTGTTTTGTTTTGTTGTCTCGTATTTTTTTCTATTGTGTATTTACCTGCCTTTTCATGCGTTTATATTTTGCTCCTCCCGCTTGTGCAAGAGAACTGATATTGTGAGATCAGTAAATAAAATGAATGACGGAGTCAGCTCGAATATTCGCGTGTCGAATTCCTGGGTGCGTTTCTCAAGGTACATGCACATCTGACACCGATCTGAAGAATTCTGTTCTGAATATCAGGAAATCCCAGTCCCCTAGCAAACGCAGCTTGAACGAAAAGTTTTAAATTAAATTATTTGATGCGCACGCAAATTATGAATCGCAAAAGGTAATAAAAGCGCTTGGGGTCTGTTTTATGTGGCACTCCCCAAGCCTGAAGGCCCTCTCCTTGATTTAACACGGTGGAGCATAAAAACGTAATAGAAATAAGGAAAACTGTTGAAATAGTCAGACTAAATAAAATTAATATTCTTATCTTTTTGCTGTTCTTTTTTTTGTCAGGTCTCCTTGCAGCGGTCCTCTCTTTCTTTTGCGTTCCTTTTTTTCCCCTTTACTTTCGCTTTTCTTTTTTTCCCGCTCAAAAAGTTTTGCTCGCCGTTTCCACTTTTTTCGTTGTCAACTTTTGCATACGTGTATCATGTATAGAAATATTTATCTTAAAAATGCTGAGGAAACAGTCGCTTTTGACGAGCTCGTGGCCCGATCTGCTGAGTTATTTATACGTTCATACCTGTACAAAACGCGTAACTTCTATCTACTAGACACTTTTTCACTAACAAAATAACAACTTAGTTACTTCTTAAGATAAGGAACGAGTAAAGTATTTTTATTACTTTTATAAAGTACGAGTAATATATTTAGTTACTTCTAGAAGGGAACGTGTCCAACACAAGCAACCCTATTTGGTTTTCACAACGACAAGCGCCTGCCATGCGATCGGCAAAAAAAGAAAAAGCTCCAACAATACGCTAAAGAGTGTCACGAATGCGTTAAAAAGTAGGCATTTTAAACACCTCAAAGCATCGAAAGACGGCTGCTGCTTAAAAAAAAAAACGACATATTCAGAATAGCGAGTGTGTACCCCGTTACTTTTGAAGTCAAGTAACTGGTTCCTTTTGAACCTCAGTAACGAGAACTTAGATATATTTCGAGCAACTAACGTATGTAGTTACTTTTTCATTACTCTCACTGAAATCCAAGGCCCAGTCAAAGCAGCACTACTATTTATATCGTAGCACGGAACTAGTTTGGCAGTTAGTGGCACGCATCTCAGCTAAATCGCAAATGTTCACATTCTGCAAAGCTCGCGTCATTTCAGAGTACAATGAAATAAAGCTGTCTCGATAGTCAGTTAAAAATTAAAACGGGCAACAAAACTACGGTTCTCGACAGGCGTCTTTAACTGGGCTGTTTAGCGTACGTCTTATGCGCCCCCCCCCCCCCCCCCCCCCCCCTTCCACAGATCAAAAGTGTTCCCTAAATGGAAATAAATGGCGTCGAAGAAGCCGGCCGCGATCGTGGCGGTTCGGGGTAGAAGACGAGGCAAAAAGTAGTAGCGAAGTCGAGTGTCGGTGTTGTCGCGGAGTCCCAGGCCCTGTGTGCCGAAGTTCCCGTGCACTGTCTGGCAGGAGAGTGACCTACAACTGACCAGGCGTCTGGTCCATCCACCGCCAGGATCGCGTACGGCGCCAACATGACACTTATCTCTAACGCCATCAGACGGAAACGGAGGGACCACTTTTTGGGACGCGATCAACGCACCAGTTGCAGACGCGTTCTAGGTGCCATAAAAAAAGAACGCCATAGGCAGGACGCGCACCTGTCTTCGATGAGGAACATGTCTCCGTCGGTCTCCACGCAGGTGCCCTTGAAGGCGAGCTGGCGTCGCTCGATCGAGATGGCCGGGTGAGCGCCCTTCTGGAACCACATGCCCAGCCAGCGCTCGGGGAACTCGCAGCCCCGGCCGGACTCTGCGCAACAACCAAAAAAGAAACACGGCCGCATACGTCAGAGTGACACTCGCACAAACGATGTCAATGCACGATCGCGGGCTAGCAAGCTGTGTACCAGCAGGCTAGTGAGCAGGTAAGCAATCAAGCTTTACCAGCACAATCAATTCTCCATCTCAAAAACATCTGCAGTGCAGACAAAGGCGCGAGCACCTAACTTTATACTTCGTTTCAGCTTCGGTCCAGACGCAGCCGATGCTACAAGCGCGAGCATGTGGCCCAGAACAGTGCTTGCACTGCACGAGCGCGCGTGCTTGGCAGGGATGCTGAAAGCCCGGAGCTCGCGCTTGTAGCTTTGGCTGCGTCTGGACCGAAGCTGAAACGAAGTATAGGTAGTGCCTCGTTTGTGCGGGTTCTCCTGCTGGCAGCCCATCCTGCTGAGCACTGACCCACGCGCTTGTGCCATTGTCTGCATTAAACTCATTTAATTTACTTGCAGCTCGTACACCGGTGTCAGAAAACTGTAGGGCAGCGTACTTCCGGTATACGTGTTGACATATGACGAGAATTACACCGCCCTACACTTTTTGGTACCGGCGCAGATGGTACCGGTAAATTGACCGAGCCCGTGTACATTTGTGAAATGAAAGTAGATGAAACAAATCGCACGCCCTTAGTAAGATTAATCTTGCACCAGAGCAATCTTAATTTTTGTTTTCACGTTATCACCATGCCACCATCCCCTTTTGAGGTTTTCATGCGTCTGCTATGTTTAATGAAACAGTTTATTTTTTTTTTATTTATTATTATTTTTTAGTGAATCCCGTTTCCTCCAAAAAAAAAAAACTGAATCAGAAGCTCCCAAAGTACGCCATAAAAAAATATTTGTCGCCAACCGCAACCTGAAAAGTCACTTCACTCTTCAGATCTGGAACCGAAAGCACCGACACCTGGAGCACAAGCGCTCTCCTATACAGCCCCAAACAAAAACAAACGCATCTTTTTTTTTTCTTTCGTCCACACGCCTTACGTAAACAACCCTCCAAAAAGCGAACCTGCGAGACTGCGAGGTTCTTTCGACTCCCCACAACACTCGAGACATCGTGTACAACTCGAGAAGTGTTATACAGCCTAAGAGATGGAGTGCACAGACGCCCCCTCACAAACACAAAAATACGTGTGCACACACGTACACACGCACAAGCATTCACGACGCGCCAACACACACACACTGCCAGGCACCGCTTTATTAAGAATGAACAGACGTCTCGTCTCAGAGTGACACAGGACGGACGGCCTCCCCTCGCGAAAAACTCGAGTTTTTCCCGCCCCCTCGCTTCTCTGTGGCGGGGCTTCCGACCACGGGGTGATGGATCGCGGTTTAATGGGCGCGCCGGAACACGTACCAAGTTCCACACGATAACATCGCTGCCGCTGCAGCGAAAGCGTCGCTATGCGACCGCACAATTAAAGAGCCGAGCTCCATGAATGCGGACACACACAAAAACCGAGCACTACAAAGCAACGGCCAAAAGAAATACGTGCATTTTTGAAAGGGAGGTGCTCGTAAAACGATTTTATGGCTGGGGAGAACCATCGGCCTGGTGAGGGGAAGGAAAAAGAAAAACGAAATGAAATATTTTAATCTGGAGCTAAAGTATACCAGGAGCGAGTTCCAGTCGCTAGCACGTCACGTTCCCGGTTCTTCTTTTAATGCAAATTGGCAGGGCAGTACATCAAAATGAATGACGTATCACGGTTCACTATAGTTGAGACTCCGAAGTTTGGAGCCCATGTAAAACGAGAAATAAAGCTGAAGAGCGTTTCTTTTCTACGCTTATTATTTAGATATACATAAAAAGAATATCTGGGGTTACGACCGATGTGAAGTGTAGGGGTACGTCACACACACCATCTATAATCACGTTCCATGCGCAAGTGCATCTATAGTGCAGTTATGCCAAGGGCCTAAAGCTTTGAGTGCCCTTTCGATTGAACATAGTAGTGAAAATAAAAAAAATAATATCGTGTGGTACAGCTCGTGGATTCACTAAAATCAGTCATCAAGCTTAACTGAAACGAAGCTTTATGCGGCGAGTAAGTTCACCTGCTTTTTGTGCGGCGGGAACAATAAGGTCATAGTGCGAGCTCCGATGTGATTTGGTCGCTGCCTGCCATGCCTGCCATGCCTGAAATGTTGAAGTTTCACCCGCAGCTACGGGCCATGCCTCGAGAAAACCAGATATAATAATGCACACTTTCTCCCAGAAATGCACTCGAAATAGGAAATAGAAACGAGCGTTTTGACAGCTAACGTCATCGTCGCCTCCGCAAGGCGAGCAGGGCGATGGAGGGGAAAATGACGTCCTTGTCGTGACGTCACCCCTGTTTGCCGAAAAGGGGGGGGGGGGGGGGGGGGGCCACTGAAACTTTTCGGGGCTACTAGCCTCCGAAAAAAAGAAAAGGGTACTTCAAAAAAAAAAATTTTTTTTTTCGAACAAGTATTAGAGGCGTTTCCGCGTGCGAGAAAATGACGGCCTATTCTCCATTTCCTCTTGAGTCCCAGCGGGGCCAAGCGCTAGAAGCTACACGAGCACAAACCAGCTTACTAAAACCCGATGTCACAACGCATTTGTTCTTGAGCTTGATTGGGACAGTTGGTAGTAAAACGCGCATAGAAACACACACACACACACACACAAATGTTTTAATCTAGTGATTTTAGAGAGGCTTGATTGTCGCCATTCACTCGTGGCGTTGGTGGTGCTCTGACCTGAGATGAATTGTAGCATATATCCTCTGCTCTCCAACGCCGCCACCGCCAAAGAGCGAGCAACAGCTGCGAGTGCGGAGATTCGTCGCGTTTGTCATTCACATGATCACTCCCCTCTGATGCTCGAAGAGACGTGTTTCGGGGGGCTTGCTTTCCGTATGGCTTGACACTGACGCGAACGAGTTTTAGGAGCCATCGAAAGCACTTTCCGTATTTTTTTGCTGGTGCCAATTGACAAGGAGCGCGCATAGTTCCACCCGATAAAAATGCTTAATGTGTGTACGTCCCATCGCCAATACGAAGAAACTATCGCGGGTTAGCCAAAAGGGACATTTGTTAACATATTTTGAAAAAGATTCACCATTAATGTTGAATTTTATCTATGTTATCCTGTTATCCTTTCTGGGTCCCTGGCTTTCGGCAGGCGAAACAGCAGTAACTTCTATTGAACGACGTGTGTTGCCCTATTCGGTAGATAGCGAACTTTGTGCCGACAACACGAAAACGAAAATAGCTTCAATGGCGTTCATCGGCCAGATGCAATTCTTGCGATGTTTCGAACCTTGTGGTACCCGCTTTCACTGTAAGTGCATAGATGTCATTAGAGATGACTATGATTACTTCATGCTGAGTGGTACCAGGACGTACAAGAGTAAACCTTGTACGAAACTCAATGGCTCCGACGAAGTTAGTGCTACCACGAAAAAATGTCCCCCCGACTATAGCGACACGGCATCGGGAAACACTGTTGTAGGGAACTGCAGCACGTGTGGCTATGGGGGAATTCGTATTAAACTAACATTCACAATGCTTTCTAAAAATAAAGAAAAAAAAAGGGGGATTGTAGGTGGAAGCCACAAAGTTATAGGTCGTGGTGGTGATATCAACGTCAGGATACTCGCCACTAACGACATATGAGTACCTTTCAAAGAAAATACTCGTCATTCTCCGGTTCCTACTACGTTTCGCTGGTCCTTGTTGCGGATTACCTCATCATTCATCAGCAACACGATTGCACCAGCCTTCAGATACGGCTTCGACATGCTGACAAGAGACAAAGCATCCACCAAATATTATCAATGACTACTCGGATCACTAGGAAAGTTTTGAGATTACGCAAACAGAAAAGGTGGAGGAAAAGAAAGTCTGGTGCAACTATGCCTTAATATTTACTATAGTCCGTTGCAACTCAAGAGGTAAGGCGAGAGAAAGGAAGGACGGGAAGGAGGAAGCGGACGGAACGCTGGAGAGAGGACAAGGTTCCCCCCTCTCCTCTCCAGCGTTCCGCCTGTTTCTTCTTCCCCAGCCTTCCTTTCCCTCGCCCTACTTTCGTGAGCTGTAATTTACTATAGTAAAACTAATTATTATCTTATACCACAACGGCGCGTAGTATTGACCCTGGATTTCAGAAGATTTCGACATGCCACTTCGTCTGCCTAGGCCATGGAGGTCGAAACACAGGGTTCTTAATAGATGCTGTGTTACGATTTCAAAAGTAGTTTAAGTAGGTCGGAATCACTGGGGCGGTTCTCACATGTTTTGGGACGTTCCACCGGCACAGGCAAACGCTTTTTTTTTCTTTGATATTGTAAAGCATGGTTACATCTCTCTGAGAGACAACGAGCGCATTGGCAGACCATTAAAGGTTGCGATTGAAGGAAACGTCGCTGCTGTGGAAATACTTTTTAGAAGAGACCCTAGCTTGGAATGCTATGCTATCGGAGGGGGGGGGGGGGGGCGGGGAAGGGGGCTGTAGATTAGTTAGTCAAGTTTTATGACCATTTCTCAAGAACACCTTTTTTGAAGAAAGTTTATAATCACGCATAGTTTCACAATTCGATGGAAACTCAAAAGATGGAGCTCGTAGAATGGTGCCGAAAGATACTACGGACATTTCAAAGCTGCGACTACAGAAAGGTAAACGACAAGTTTATGGCCGACTAAACCTGGATGTTTATTACGATTTGGAAACAAAGCGCCAATCGTTAGGTTGGGTCTTCCTCTGAACGTCAAGAGGCCAAAAAGTGTAAGAAAGAAAACGGTGACCTTTTTTATCTTCTCAACCAATGTCCATGTGGCTACGGTATCTTTGAAAAACAAAGAACAGTAACTGCACAATGATAAGCCATATTGTTTTCTTTCAGCAGTACTAAAAAAACTCTGGGAGAGGCCACCAAGAGAGGACTTCAGGAAACTCCTGCTGCACCGCGAGAATTCACCGGCCTACACTGACAACCGCACACTCGAA